TAATGCCCAAAAGGTCAAAAAGCGAGTAACGCTCCGGTGTCGGGTTTCACTGACTGACATTAAAAATGGTATGTCCTTTGCCATCCACGAGCGGTCTTTTGTTACGTGTCTGAAAGGTCTGACATTGACGCGTTGGTACAGCTACCATATAGATAACCAAATAATCTTCAGCTTTGTAAATACCGTTCGTCATAGAGAGATAAAACGGCGAAAACACATACGCTTGAGTATGCGTGTTAGCATGTAATGAGCTCTGAGGACAAAATTAACGGTTCTAATTGCTTTCGGGATATCGATAACGTTTTGTTTTCAATACCTTATCAATATCACTATTGTCGAATTCTCCAATATGGTCACGTAAGGCCTGTCAAAATAAATCTTTGAAGATGGTATTATTCCGTTGCAATATTTGACCTGTTGTGCTTGTCATTGTTCGATGAACATATCTAAACTTTAATTTCATATTCTAAAGACAAGATCTGCTTACATATAACTAGTATGGTATGTAGGTCAGCTGATCAGTTTGTTTTACACCAACAGAATGCTTAAATATAGTATCGGCTGTAATCACTGTCACATGCAAAGGTGGTAAGAAGAGTGATGTCTAAACTGATTTCAAATGTGTCTTTGTCGTACAATTAAGAATTGGGGATAAATACGTTTTCTTCTGGTACACGCCTCTAGTGTTAAGATTAGCTTCCCTATTGATCCAAAGCTAGCACTGCTCAAGATTTTTTTTAAATATTAAATACAGCTTAAAGAAAGAAATATAGGTATGTATATAGATTTATAATTAATAAAAGAATCATGGGCACAGATAAAAGGCTACACGCAACGAAACTATGCAAAAGAAACATAGGTATGTATATAAATTTATAATTAATGAAAATCATTGGCACGAATATAAGGCCGCACGCGATGAGGCACTGACTCCATTTATTTATAAAAGAAAACTAAAATGGACAGAGAGACGTTATGGAAGCATGTGATCATGTAACACTCTCGGCAGTACTGATTTGAAGTTTGTCGTTAATCCGGTTAATAGGTGGAAGGCTTTATGTACAGAGGTACGGTCTATCCATAAGAATGACACCTCACCTATTTACAAACAAGAGAATTATCCTCAGTATTTATCACTACACAATTACCACACGCAGAAAATAAAAGTTACTAATTGACGTTTTATTAACAATGCAAACGGGGTTTGAAGGTTTTACCGCACTTCCTTTGAACTATCTAATGTTTATAGAAAGTCCGTAATGACATGTGTAATCGGACCAACATTATCTGTCGCGAGGACATTTACAATCGTACATTGAATCGTTTGCATTTTATCTCTGATATGATCATCATAATAAAGATTCGTTTTCCGTTAAGCTCGTTTGACTTTTTAAGAACAGGATCTGTTCGTTGTTGAGCTAGTTTAAGAACATTAATCCCGTGTATGTTCTGAGACTTCTGAGACCATAATCCTGTCAGGTAAACAGTTGTTAAATACGATATAAGATCTGTAATATTTCCATCATTATTCAAATATATAAATTACATAAACAATATATACATATACCTATTTTCCGACTGGTAATCGGTGGTCAAAACGAGTATCCTCGATTATTGTGTGTTACCATGTATAATCCGTTAGTTTGTTTTCCAATTGTATACAGACACTCTCTTTGCCGAGTTTCTTTAAACAAAAATTAAAAAACATGAATATGATAATCACGATACCGATAACCGACCATTTCTAGTTAGTTAGTTCATTTCTACCATATCCAGGTGTAGAATCTGTGTCTACTGTCACGAGTTGAAGAACCTGATTTTACCTTCATGGGTTTGAGAATTTGTTTCTACCTTCGCGAATGAAGAATCTGTTTCTCATATCACGAGTCGGAGAATCTGTTCCTAGCATCAAAAGTTAGGGAATCTGTTTCTATTTCCACGATTTGAAGAATATGTTTTTACTATCACGAGTTTTCTGTTTCTACTAGAACATAACGCCTTGCTTCATATTCCCGACTTGGAAGGAATTTCTTTAAATCATACGTCACAATAGAAATACATTTGAAGCATAAAGTTGTAAAGCATTTAAACATAATTCTACAAATGACATACAACACGCTTTATACAACATAAAGCAAACTATTTCCTCCCTCCCGCTGGTGTTTATCACACGGGCTAGGGATGCTGATATATGTATACGTCATGGTAAAATATCAGTGATGCGTCTATCCTTACAACATATGAGTTGAATGAAACAAGATACTAATATTTTTATTATGAATTTACTTAAACCAAGTGAAGGTCAAGGGTGTTACACAAAGGCAGATCCAGGTTGAGGAGAATACTAAAAGCATTTGGCGCGCTTACGATCTTCATGCGCTCTGTAAGTAGGGAATGATGGAGTTAATTAAACTTGCTCTTTCGGTCTAATGTCATGGTAGTCCTAGTATTCTTAGATGAACGGTTCATTTTTCAACCAAAAACATATATCATTTTTTAATATTAACCAAAAGTATATTCTTGAAATATCCCTTTTCATCTCTTTTTAAATGTAAACCAACCATTAAATTATTCTTTATTCATTCCAAAATGTATATTTATACAAAGAAAATATTGTCTTCAAATTTTTATGTTATTGTTTTTGAAGAAGTACTGAATAAAATCAACGAAGCATTCCTCAGGCGACGGACGTTCTCACCTCTTATCCAAGTGTTTACTTTGGTCGAGATTAGCCGTAAAGGCACAAAATTGCAGTTCGCGTAAATAAAATTTAAATCAAATATTTTCGTTCCATCATTAAGCCGGGTTTAGCCTTCCAAATGAAACCATGACTAGTAATTTTCCTCAGGAAGCCGGTGTAATTATCCCGCCATTTTTGTTGGATAATTTTCACTGTCAAAATACCGTTTCAGATTTGACGATATGGAAGCAATTTTCAGTATCCCGCGGTTGCACTAATATACCGTTAAATAGAGATTATTAATCATTCATTATAATTAGTTATCATTTTCGCTCTGCGCACATAACGGCAATTATTACTTCAAATGTAATTCTTTGTCATGCAGCCTGCAGCATTGAAACACGTGACCTTCCGTGTCGTCTGCTACCTAGATGAACAGCGCGCCAAAACGTCAGGGATGATATTTTCACGTCCAACTGAGCAGGGACCGTCTTGTTTAAGTGATTACTGAATGAATCGATAAACACGATGGACTAGGGTTGATCAATCTTATATAGCCTTAATCCGTTATCATGTGTTGGCTGTATGTGGATGGAGGCACCGCCGGATCAACCAATGGTCCGCGCGGAAAATAATCGCAGAGCACTTCCGGTTTAAATAGGAAGTCAATTTTGTACGCCATGTTAACCAAAATCTAAAAGGAAATTAAAATGATATTTTTACACGCTGTTGGACGTTATTATGCGTGGTGAAATCAGACTTAAGGCAGACCTTTTATTTGGGTAAGTTATAAAGGCAGTGCTGCTTTTTACAAGAGGCAAACAATATTAGGAAAGATTATAGATATCACTTTCCCGCAGTATAAATGAGTCATTATATTTCGTTCTTCAATGTGTACTGGAAATGGGAATACGGTCGACCAAAAGCGAAATTAAAGAACAGTGAATAAGAAACGCAACGTCTGACTCATCAATTTTATATGATGATGTCCACACTCCACGTCAACGAAATCAACTAAAAACAGCAACAAACAATATCCAACAACAATATCCAACAAACAATATCCAACAACAATATCCAACAACAATATCCAACAAACAATATCCAACAACAATATCCAACAACAATATCCAACAAACAATATCCAACAAACAATATCCAACAACAATCATGCAATGGTAAGCAGTGCACCAATGTCCATTAACCAATCAGCTGTGATACCGAATACAATCTCTATAGTAACCATTGTTCACTGGATTATCACCACGTTGTTCACTGGATTATCACCACGTTGTTCACTAGATTATCACCACGTTGTTCACTAGATTATCACCACATGTTGTATTTTAGAGCAGAATCACAACATCGACGAGTATAACTCTTTCGTTTAGAAAAGAACCACCAAATTGACGACGGAGGATAACCATTTTGTTGAGAGCAGACTCACACATTGACGGAGAAACCCTTTCGTTGAGAGCAAAATCACCACATTGATGGAGGATAACCATTTTGTTGAGAGCAGAATCACCACATTGACGGAGAATAACCATTTTGTTGAGAGCAAAATCACACATTGTCGATTGTGAATGATCTGTTGTTGAGAGCAGAATCACCACATTGACGGAGGATAACCATTTTGTTGAGAGCAGACTCACACATTGACGGAGAAACCCTTTTGTTTAGAGCAAAATCACCGCTTTGACGGAGGATAACCATTTTGTTGAGAGCAGACTCACACATTGACGGAGAAACCCTTTTGTTGAGAGCAAAATCAACACATTGATGGAGGATAACCATTTTGTTGAGAGCATACTCACACATTCACGGAGGATAACCATTTTGTTGAGAGCAGACTCACGCATTGACGGAGAAACCCTTTTGTTGAGAGCAAAATCACCACATTGATGGAGGATAACCATTTTGTTGAGAGCATACTCACACATTGACGGAGGATAACCATTTTGTTAAGAGCAGACTCACACATTGACGGAGAAACCCTTTTGTTGAGAGCAAAATAACCACATTGATGGAGGATAACCATTTTGTTGATAGCAGACTCACGCATTGACGGAGAAACCCTTTTGTTGAGAGTAAAATCACCACATTGATGGAGGATAACCATTTTGTTGAGAGCATACTCACACATTGACGGAGGATAACCATTTTGTTGAGAGCAGACTCACGCATTGACGGAGAAACCCTTTTGTTGAGAGCAAAATCACCACATTGATGGAGGATAACCATTTTGTTGAGAGCAGACTCAAACATTGACGGAGAAACCCTTTTGTTGAGAGCAGAATCACCACATTGACGATTGGGAATGACCCTTTTGTTGAGACTACAACCAACCACCACATTGAGGAGGGAGAATGACCCTTCTGTTGAGACTACAACCACCACATTGAGGAGGGAGAATGACCCTGTTGTTGAGACTACAACCACCACATTGAGGAGGGAGAATGACCCTTCTGTTGAGACTACAACCACCACATTGACGATTGAGAATGACCCTTTTGTTGAGACTACAACCACCACATTGAGGAATGAGAATGACCCTTTTGTTGAGACTACAACCACCACATTGAGGAGGGAGATTGACCCTTTTGTAGAGACTACAACCACCACATTGAGGAGGGAGAATGACTCTGTTGTTGAGACTACAACCACCACATTGACGATTGAGAATGACCCTTTTGTTGCGACTACAACAACCACATTGAGGAGTGAGAATGACCCTGTTGTTGAGACTACAACCACCACATTGAGGAATGAGCATGACCCTGTTGTTGAGACCACATCCACCACATTGAGGAGGGAGAATGACCCTGTTGTTGAGACTACAACCACCACATTCAGGAGGGAGAATAACCCTGTTGTTGAGACTACAACCACCACATTGACGATTGAGAATGACCCTTTTGTTGCGACTAAAACAACCACATTGAGGAGTGAGAATGACCCTGTTGTTGAGACTACAACCACAACATTGACGATTGAGAATGACCCTGTTGTTGAGACTACAACCACCATATTGAGGAGGGAGAATGACCCTTTTGTTGAAACTACACCCACCACATTGAGGAAGGAGAATGATCCTGTTTTTGAGACTACAACCACCACATTGAGGAGGGAGAATGACCCTTTTGTTGAGACTACAACCACCAAATTGAGGAGGAAGAATGACCCTTTTGTTGAGACTACAACCACCACATTGAGGAAAGAGAATGACCCTTTTGTTGAGACTACAACCACCATATTGAGGAGGGAGAATGACTCTTTTGTTGAAACTACACCCACCACATTGAGGAGGGGGAATGACCCTGTTGTTGAGACTACAACCACCAAATTGAGGAGGAAGAATGACCCTTTTGTTGAGACTACAACCACCACATTGAGGAAGGAGAATGACCCTTTTGTTGAGACTACAACCACCACATTGAGGAAGGAGAATGATCCTGTTTTTGAGACTACAACCACCACATTGAGGAGGGAGAATGACCCTGTTGTTGAGACTACAACCACCACATTGAGGAGGAAGAATGACCCTTTTGTTGCGACTACAACCACCACATTGAGGAAAGAGAATGACCCTTTTGTTGAGACTACAACCACCATATTGAGGAGGGAGAAGGCTCTTTTGTTGAGACTACAACCACCACATTGAGGAGGGGGAATGACCCTTTTGTTGAGACTACAACCCCCATATTGAGGAGGGAGAAGGCTCTTTTGTTGAGACTACAACCACCACATTGAGGAAGGAGAATGACCCTTTCGTTGAGACTACAACCACCACATTGAGGAAGGAGAAGGATCCTGTTTTTGAGACTACAACCACCACATTGAGGAGGGAGAATGACTCTGTTGTTGAGACTACAACCACCACATTGACGATTGAGAATGACCCTTTTGTTGAGACTACAACCACCACATTGAGGAAGGAGAATGATCCTGTTTTTGAGACTACAACCACCACATTGACGATTGAGAATGACCCTTTTATTGAGACTACAACCACCTCATTGGCGATTGAGAATGACCCTTTTGTTGAGACTACAACCACCACATTGAGGAAGGAGAATAACCCTTTTGTTGAGACTACAACCACCACATTGACGATTGAGAAGGACCCTTTTGTTGAGACTACAACCACCACATTGAGGAATGAGAATGACCCTTTTGTTGAGACTACAACCACCACATTGAGGAAGGAGAATAACCCTTTTGTTGAGACTACAACCACCACATTGAGGAAGGAGAATGATCCTGTTTTTGAGACTACGACCACCACATTGACGATTGAGAATGACCCTTTTATTGAGACTACAACCACCACATTGAGGAGGGGGAATGACCCTGTTGTTGAGACTACAACCACCACATTGAGGAGGGAGAATGACCCTGCTGTTGAGACTACAACCACCACATTGAGGAGGGAGAATTACCATAAGGTACACTGGAGAATCAGTATACTTTTCCGGAGATTAACCGTATTGTTGACTATAAAATCACCAGATTGTTGATTATAATATCACTATATTATTGTCTATGAAATATCACTTTGAATCCCAAATTATTTACTGAAAAGGTTTACTAAACAATTGCTGTATTCTTGAAGAATCAAATTTATACGTCTGTTATATTGGATTGTAATCAATTGATGTTTGTGTTTTAGATAATGTGCCTGTTTTATAATGCTGTTACTTTTTATATTAATATGTTTGCTATATTGAGCTGTATTTGATATGCTAAGTGTTGATATATCTGTTTTATATTATGTGTCTGTTATATTGTCCACCAGGGTACGTGCTATATTAAGTGCTGATATGTCTGTTTTATATAACATATCTGTTATGTTGATCTATACGTGCTGATATGTCTATTTTATATAATGTGTCAGTTATATTGTGCACCAGGGTACGTGCTATATTAAGTGCTGATATGTCTGTTTGATATAACATATCTGTTATGTTGATCTATACGTGCTAATATGTCTGTTTTATATAATGAGTCTGTTATATTGTGCACCACGGTACGTGCTATATTAAGTGCTGATATGTCTGTTTTATATAACATATCTATTATGTTGATCTATACGTGCTGATATGTCTGTTTTATGTCGTATGGAAAAATAAACACATACACCTGTGTATCATGTCCATAATCCATTTATTCTTCGTTCATGTCACAAAGGCATTTGTCCTAAGGACGGTTTGGAGGAATTCACGAATTCACTGTTTTCCTATATTGAGTAATATCGGACAGCGTATTTCTTATTTTTCTTGTCGGAGATCGGTGAGCTTGACTATTTTCCAATTACATTTGTACGTCCGAATGACCAGCTGTCTAATCTGAAACTGCTCACCGCTAACCAGGAATTTACTTTTGAACTGACCGCTTGATTGTGATTGGCCGAGATAGTTCGTAAATGTCCATTGATAGAAATTTTAATCCTTATATATCGGCGATGTAATTAATCAACGTAGCCAATTAAAAAATCATAAACAATATCTATAAAACTAACTAGTAAAAATAACATTAAAATAGTGTTAACGTACTTATATGTCACGTTATCGTCACGTTTTGTCCTGCTTTGTGAGTAATTCGTGTAATGGCGCAGCAATTCCCGAGAATCCTTTGACATAGCGACGATAATACCCACATAGTCCTAAAAATGAGCGTAGTTCTTTTTCACTGGCTGGAGTTTTCCAGTCCGAAATTGCTTTTGTTTTGTCGGGATCGGTTTCAATTCCCCGTTCAGATACAACATGACCAAGAAATTTTGTTTCTTATTTGAAGAAGTGGCACTTGCTGTTTTTCATCTTTAGTCCATGTTCCTTTAATCTGCTGAAGACATACTCCAAACGTTGTAGATGCTCTTCTATTGACGGCGAGAATACCAATATGTCGTCCAAATATATGAGAAGGAGATCAAAATTTGCTTCCGCCAAACAAGCCTCCATCAACAGCTGAAAAGTAGCAGGGCTATTGCAGAGTCCCATTGGCATACGGTTGTACTCATATAACCCTCCTGTACCTACTCGGAACGCGGTTTTATGACTGTCTCTTTCGTCAATAGCCACTTGGTAATATCCTTGCGCTAAATCCATAGAGCTGAAGTACTTCGCACCGTGTAACGCATCTAGAGCCTCCTCTATACGTGGTAACGGGTATGCGTCTTTGATAGTTTTGTCATTTAAAAGCCGATAATCCACACAAAGCCGTAAACTACCGTCCTTTTTACGCACAAGTACTACTGGCGCAGCATACGGACTTATGCTCTTTTTGATGATGTTTTGCCGTAACATTTTGTTAATATGCTCCCTGACTTCCTCCATTTGATGAGGTGGAATGCGCCGATGGGCAATTTTGATGGGGAGTTCGTCCGTAGTATGAATCCGATGTTTTATGAGATCTGTGAATCCCAAATCTTCATCACTCTGACAGAAACAATCTTTGTATTTATAAAATAACTGTGCTACTTGTTTCTTTTGATCAGGTGCTAAATCAACATCTCCCACGTCTACCGTAAATGGTAATTGATCCAATCTTGTAATTTCGTCCGGTACTGCCTCAACTTCGATGGTCTCGAGACGAATATTAATTTCAGACTCCGTTACTTGTACGTTACATGTTGTTGAAGTAGTACATTCGGTAAAGCTATCCACGACATGTGCTGTCCCTATCCGGCTTTTCTGTGGTAACCATACATCTTCACTACCAAGATTAACAACTCTTACAGGAACTCTACCGTTGTTAACTTCACTGAAAGTGTCTACCACAACGACGTTCTTGGGTAGTGAGCCACTGTTTCCCTGTATAGCTTGAATAGCAACGGTGTACGGTTTATTGTGTTTGGATTGACGTGTTGATCGACTTACTACCTTCATGGAGTATGCAGGTATCTTTATTGGCTGGTTCCCGGGAATTTTTACGAAACTGACACCGTCATCCTTTGTGGTCGTAGACATCTCATATAGAGACAAGATCTCCATCCACGGTTGACCAGTGGTACCATTTTCTTTTGTCGACTTTCCTTCACTGTCAGTTTCCGCCGCTTCTTTCATCAATTTAAAGAAGTTACTCCCTAATAAGCCTGGAACCCTTCCTTTACGCTTAATGCCATTAAAGTCTGTTGGATCCTTTACAACCAACACACCAACTTCAGATACCTTCCGATCAACAATGTCAATATCGACCTCTACATATCCAATGTATGGAACCTCCAATTCATTTGCACCGGTAACTCGCATCCACTTGGTTACGTCTATCAACTCGGATTTCCTCCCCACAAGTTTCCCGAAGAAGCTTTCTGTGATGGTCGAAATTTGTGATCCGGTATCAAGCAAGCATCTAACTTTTTCACCTTCTATTAGTATATCCAACTCCGGACATTCACCAACAGCGTTCTTGAAAACGGTCCGCTTTATTCTGGAGTCAAGAAAGTCGTCCCCCACTGTCTGACTCCCTACAGTGGGTTCTGGGCGTTTAAATCCTGCTTGCCGGTATCCTCCTTTTCGTGAGATTTATATTCGCCATTTTGTTGTTGTCTTGGTTTCCGTTCAGTTGGGCATTCCTTACTTATGTGGCCACGACCTCCACAGTTGTAACATTTAAAAGCCCCTCTGCCTCTGCCTCGACCAGTTCCTTTAAGGAAAGTTTCGGACCTGCCTCCAATCATTTGCGTTAGCGCGTCTAATTGCTGCTGTTGTTTCGCAAGCAGTTCTTGTTGGCTCTGCAACATGGCCGTTAATGCTGATGGAGAAAAGGATTCTTTAGCTTTGAGTTCATCACTAGTAACGCAAACTTCCTGTTCCAAAACAGAAGCGCTTTTAGAGCGAACTGGTGTAGTTTCATCCTCTGTCCAACGAAGCACCAAATGCCTAAAGTCCGTAAATGATACTTCCCTGTGTTCAAACATGTATCTTCTCATTTCCCGTCTCAGCTGGGTATCGACTACACCATCTGTAAATCGTTCTTTCAGCATCAAGTCTCTATCACCAACTATATATCTATCTTTCTTTACAATTCTGTCCATAATTTTTAATAACACCAATGAATATTCCTGTAATGTCTCTCCTTTGTTTTGATTTCTTTGATAAAACTTTTGTTGTAGCTGTCCAACAGTCTCTGCCTCTTGAAATGTTGTTCTGATGATGTCCAAAATTTGGGTTGCTGAGGACTTTTCGGTTTCTGCCCTAATACGTATTTCATCTTTAGCTTGGCCTTGTAAGTGAGCATATAGAAATTCCACTTGAGCGTCACTTCCGGTGATAGTTTTCAGATGGTGTACAGCATCCTCTATCCATTCCTCCGCTGTAGGATCCGTATCTTTTAGAGGTCTACCCGAGAATTTCTCCAGTTTCCTGTTCTTGTTGATGTATACAGTCTTAGAAGAACTTGCATAATTTTCCAGTTCTTGTTTTGTCTTCAAGAGTTCTTTTCCTAACCTGTCAGCGTTCGCAGTCTCGGCGTCTATCCGTTCAACTTTCTCCCTTAATTTCTTCAACTCTGTCACTAATTCCTCCATTTCCGCCATTTTACTACTGTCCGTTTGCAATAACTTAATATTCCGTCAAGATCGCACAGACTTAAGGAGTAATACACCGGAAGTAGCGAGAAGCATCCCACATAACAACCAATACAAAACACCTCGCCCCGTATGCTCACGTAGAATCGTTAACGGAAACAGTCAATGTACATGCGAACAAGCAAACGTCTCATCCACACACAGGCTAACAGTGGTATTGGGTGTACTCCATCCTTTAACAGTTTCCGATTGAGCGAGTAATAATGTTGTTTTCCCTTGCTCTTCCTGTTGTTTAGTACATCCGACGCAAATTTTGGTGAGGTAATGCCAGTAGCTGAGTTTAGGATCCGAATATGAGCGTTTACTACGTTGACTCTGGTCAATAATTCCTGATCCTGCTGTTTATATTCCTCTATAGTTGTATGACACTTAGTATGATTCCATTGCGAAATGGAATAATGCGGCAGTTCTAGAAACACTAATGTCACTTTTGACAGTTTGTCGCAGTAATCCACAAATTTTGAATATTGTGTTTGAATGTCACTTAACGCCTCCTCCGACGTACTGTGCGCAAGTTCTATGATGTTCTTTAATGGAATCTTCCTGCTAAGGTCACATGTTGCCAACCAAACATAAAGCGTAACATGATCATACTTGTCCAGAACAGAGGGTAAACGTTGCTTGAGAAATGCAAATTGACTTGAGGTCTTTGCTCCACCTTTGTACCACCACAAAATGTTAATGTTATGATCCTCTAAGTGATCCTTGATGTACGACGCCTTGCTGTCGCTCAAGACTATGGCCACGCTATGCTGTGTCCGATCCGAATTAGGTTTATTGAAAGGCCTGGTCAAAAACTTTCTAAGTTTGGATTCGGTCATGAATACTATACGCATACACAACAACAACAAAATAATAATACAGGCAAATAAAAATTGAAACACTAGTTATCTCAATACGTGCGGGTTATAACGGAAAATACTAACTTACCAATTTCTCAGAACTACCAAGTTCATGAAAATATATGACACTATCTATAAAGGTAAGTAAAAGTCACTAAGTTCTTTACACCCTTGGAACTGTCAAACTGTCCAACCAATCACTAATATCCAATGTCCACCAGGTACGTCATACCGGAAGTCCACCAAATCATCCAATCATATGTATCCATGAGTCCGACAGGTACGCCATACCGGAAGCCGTGATATCCCCTTGTTAATAATCCTGTCCTTGACGCCAAAATGTCGTATGGAAAAATAAACACATACACCTGTGTATCATGTCCATATTCCATTTATTCTTCGTTCATGTCACAAAGGCATTTGTCCTAAGGACGGTTTGGAGGAATTCACCAATTCACTGTTTTCCTACATTGAGTAATATCGAACAGCGTATTTCTTATTTTTCTTGTCGGAGATCGGTGAGCTTGACTATTTTCCAATTACATTTGTATGTCCGAATGACCAGCTGTCTAATCTGAAACTGCTCACCGCTAACCAGGAATTTACTTTTAAATTGACCGCTTGATTGTGATTGACCGAGATAGTTCGTAAATGTCAGTTGATAGAAATTTTAATCATTATATATCGGCGATGTAATTAATCAACGTAGCCAATTAAAAAATCATAAACAATATCTATAAAACTAACTAGTAAAAATAACATTAATATAGTGTTAACGTACTTATATGTCACGTTATCGTCACGTGATCCAGACAATTACGGAATCTACGTACTATATTAATAATGTACATTACAGAATAGGTAACAAGTAAATACAGAGCGTGTACAATCCACATTGTTACATTTATATAACATATCTGTTATTTTGATCGATACGTGCTGATATGTCTGTTTTATATAATGTGTCTGT